AAGGGACCAGGGAAGAGAGGCAGATAAGTATATATAAGAGAAAAGAGTCATCAATAGAATATGCAGCCGTCGCCCTCCAACAGGGACTTACCGACCCTTGCCAAGTCCTATCAATATGAAAAAGAACGTAGAACAGCTTAGGGAAGTGCGGAATTCTGGCGTTGATCAGTATCTTTCCGGAATTCTTTCGAGTTGAAGACTCGCAAAGACAGCCAAAGTATGTTTTAGCTTTCCAGGGAGTCTGGTCCAAGTGACCTGAACCGGAGGTATTGTTGGCAGGAACGGGAGGTCATTCGAGCTTGCAACCCTGGACCACGGGCATAGAAAGAGGCGGGACCTACTACAACATCACGCTTGCACAAGTTGAAAAAATGGTTGAAAATCATTATAAGATCTCAAGTCACATTTCATCAATATTGGATCGTGGTGGAATGTTCAAGAACTCACAGGGGTCAAAAGAGTTAGAGCGGAGAGCAGCGTGAAAACCCAAGGAGTAGCGAATAGAAGCTTTCCAGCATCAACGCCTCTGAGAAAAAAAAATTTAATATCTGCGCAATAATTCAGGAGACATAAGATGAGCCCACCCTCGCTTTTTCCCCACTACTGATTTTTTTTCCCGAATCGATCACTAACCAATCACTATTGGTAGAAAACGCAGCCGTGGGGAGGGTCATTTCACGCCTCCTGACCCCCTTCGACTGATAGCGACGGTAGAAACTATAGAAAGTAGTACTCCGAGCATTCTGTTCAACTATGATAAATGGACAATGCTCATGACCACAGCACGAAACGAGAGTGAGAGCAAAAAGTCCATAGAACGTTGGGAATCGCTTGCAGTAACAGTCAGCTTCAATCCTTACTAGGGGTTGAATTCGTGGTTCGTGAGAAGGGTGAAAGAAAAGAAACATTCCCTGGTCTATCCTCCATAACTCATCACATGAGTTCAGAATGTTTGCATTCAACTGCTAGATAATTCCGAGGAAAACTATGTCCGTGACTCATCCTGAAGGTATTGGTGGGAGTTGAGCGCACTATCACTGGGTCAAATCGGAACCCCCAACAGCGCACTGAATCACTGAGCTATCGCATATTTTCCTCCTCTACCGTTCATGAACGACATTACTGCGATGAGATCCGAGTGCAGTCACTCGCCCCTAACGGACAACTGTCGTTGATATCTATCGATTCAGTTCATGCTTCATACACTGCCCTGGCTCCTGCACCTGGTGCAGCTCAACGTCGCCTTTAATCTCGTTATAGATGTGAGTTTAGCTCCCACTTAAACTTTGATTTGTGTAGCGATTTCTGGGAACAAGGCAGTTTGGTCACATAAAGGCATTTTGCTTTATCAACAGCTGATCTGCTTTGATAAGGTGATAAATTCGTTGAAAAAAACCTATGAGAGAATCTTACAGCAGCGATCGATAGGGTCCATTGAGATTGCAGTATATCGGCAAAAAGAGCGAAACTAGAAAATACCATCACTCGTCTGTGAAAACCTCACTTTTTCCTTTCCGATTTGAATTGCCCTTTGTTTTCTTTTTCAACTTTTCGTAGCATTTTCTAAATGGGTCGTATCGATTCATCGGTATTAAAAGTAAATAAGCATGATAGAGACCGAAAGGCACACATCTTGCGCTCTCATAGAAAACTCCTGAGGTTTGCATAATCTCTTTTCTTTATTTCTTTGTTTACTGTTTATTTCAGACGCAGACAAAAGGTATCACTTCCTATATCAGTGGTTTTCGCGGTGATTATGAAGCTCAACTGGAGAATCACGCAATACCAACCATCCACAAGAAACGATGTCTCGGAAGAGTGGAACTCACGGAAATTATGGTGACCAACGTCGGAGTAGGGTCGACGCTAACCGTCGTTGCCGACGGGGACTACCACCTTCGGGTATTTCTTCTCTCTCCAACATTTTTTTATACAAAATACTAAATTACTCACAATTCCCATACTATCATAGCAGATATCTGATTCAACTACAAACCCTATTTTCTAGAGTATAACGCACAGTCTGCATAGGGCGCACCGCCTCAGATGCCGCGAATGTTTCTGCCTCATTTCATTTTTGCACAATTTTTGCTTGTTTTATTTTCTAGGTGTATGACCCACTACAATAAGATAAGTTTGGAAGCCACTGAGAAGATTAAAAAGAGTGGTGGCCGCTGAGAACCTGGGGGGGGGTGCCTGTGAGCTTTTTCAATGTGTGTCTTGTCATTGTACACCGTACATTCAACAAAAACCGTTAACGAAACATAACAACTTTTGATTCTTTTTCTTTCTACTTTCTTTGTTCTCTTTTTTTTTCCATTGCGCGACGCCATGTTTCCAACTTTGCACGTTTAGATCGAACATCTTCACGCTCGTCTACATGGACTCTACCGACATAACGTACTCTTCATCGAGAATACGGGTGATTTCCAACTGGTAATCAGAGATCTGAACGCTTCGCTTGGTCCTCTAGTGCCAGTAAACATTGGAGGGATACCATACCTCAATCAAGAAATATCATGGTCTGTTTTTTTTTTTCAAAAGAGCTAAGTAGGAATTAACGCTAAGCATTTGAATTACCTCCGATATTTTTACTCTAGCTCAATTCATTATAGTACCATCTGGCACACTGAAGACAAGGTCGAAGTAACCGGAGGTATTCTGCGATGGCTGGCCAAGAAACGACTGAGGGACACGATGAAGTGAGTATTAGACCTTTTACATTAGTCATATCTTATTCATTTGCGACTTTTCAATGTTCTTCTGTTAGTCACATTCAAGTCCATTACCGAAACGCCTCTTCAACGTTCTACCGACGATTTTAAGTCAATTCCATTATTCGCGTCGATTTTCTGTTTTGTCTGCACTCTCTCGTCTACATGGAGTTCTATGACCACAGTGACCTCACATATCCCAGCTTTTCACGCGAATGATGTTTGGCTCACCCACCTCGTAGTCCCATCCCTAAAACCCACTCCCTGGCCCGCCCTTTCTTCGGATATTCGATATTTTGGCAACCGCTCTTCTTCTTCTACCTGGCGTTAATCCCGCGCCGTTGCAGGGTCCGCTGTTCTTGTTGGCAGTCGCCATCTTCTCTTGTCCAGGGCGTCCTCTGCCGTGGCCTTCTTTTCAGTGAGGTCTTTCTTGATCACGTCCCTCCACCTTTTCTTCGGGGCCCTCGTGGCCGCTTGCCTTGTGCTTCGAAGTCCAGTGTCTCCCTTATCGGGTGTTCCTTCTCAGCACGTGACCGTACCACTTTAGTCGCTGCTCTCGTGCCTTCAGCTGGATTGGAGCCGTCTGTGTGACCGCTCTGACGTCCTCGTTTCTGACTCTGTCGAGTCGTGTCCAGCCGCAGGCCCATCTCAGCATCCTCATTTCAGCTGAGTGGAGCTGCCTTTCATGGTTCTTGCAGATGGGCCAGCATTCACTGCCGTAGAGCATTGTAGGCCTCACCACTGCCCGGTACACCTTGCTTTTAAGGGTTCTGGAGCATCGCCGATCGCAGAGGATACCGGTAGACTCCCTCCACTTTATCCAAGCCGCATTT